CCAGTGAGATACCAACCATAAATAAGGTTGGTATCTCACTTATTTACCTTATTTATATCGCACGTATCTAACGTCCATGTGAGAAGGTGACAAACGAGCTGTCAGTTCACCTGATCTTCAGTGTAACCACCGCCCATTGACATTTGCAACATCCGAAGGGTTGGTCAGATGCGTTGCCACCTTTTAATAAGGTGGGCCTGGGTACCTCACTCACCAGACGAAACACAGACTATAACTTTTGCACTTCACGCTGGTCTTTTGTGAGGTTGCGGTACTGCCCGGACCTGCCCATTCGTGCAACAGAGAAGACTGTTGCGTGCCATCACTAACCGTTACTAATCGTGCACTATCGCCCATTTTATCGCCTTTCCCGTAGGATGAATATGCATAAGTTTTTTTTATCACGCGAGAATTTTTAAGTACACATGGGGAACTTTTATTCTGCTGTGATATTGACCTCCGAAGAAAAGGCTTTTTCGTAACAATAAAGTGCAATATAAAAGGCTGTAAGAAATCCCATAATATGGAACGTTCCGCATCGTAAATCTCATTTGATGCCAAACATCGAAGATAGATGACCTTAATGGACCAAGTACAGGGGCGAGGACGATAAATCATTTACATTTATTTCTAAAATTAACAGTTGACTTGCTTTTTATTACTTAATAAATAATTTGATACGAAAAATTTTCATGGTGTTGTTCACAGGCATTTAAGTTATTAAGTCACTGTTTACCTTGTGCAATCACCACGTAAAGACTTAACTTCTGCCTGATAATGAAGAGTACTATACAATATGGTCATTTTTTCTCAATAACGATTTCTTATACGTTTCTTTAAAAACAATAATAGAAACTAATTGAGTTGTGCGCATTTTTCACACAGTATCATGACTAGTTACTAAATAGTTAATTAATTATTAATAAGGTTATTTGAGGCATTTTAGTCTTACTTTAAATAATTGTTATCATTGTCTAAAACAAGTTAATTTTCGAATATTTAACATTTAAGGAGATCTTTTAAAAATAGTGATGTGACTTTCTTTTTCATATTTAAGTTACAAAATTTCTTAACAGACAATGTTAGCAATTACAGTCTACCTTTAATACAAACACAAATGTCACTACATCTAAAGAAATCGTTATTAATTACAAAAAAATAGCATTATTATCTATATTATAAAGAGGAAAGATTTGATTGTTTGTATGTATTGAATAGGCTCCGAAACTACTGAACCGATTTGAAAAATTTTTTCACTGTTGGGAAGCTACATTATCCCCGCTTGATATAGGCTATATTATATTTTCAAAAAAATAGGGATCCTTACTTCAATAATGTAACCCAAAGTGTACAAAAATTACCTAAAATATTCTTTACATCGCGTGCGCTGCGAAAACTATTGATGATAGAATAAAATAATGTACTACGAATTTGCAGAACACATCATTATTTCCGAAAAGTGTCGCGAGAGCATATGTATGTAGCAACTATTATAATTATACCACCATAAGTGTTCTTTTATTTTAAAATTTTGATTGAAATGCCGCCGCTAGAAAAGGCACTTTATTTGTATCTTGGTATTAATCCTTATAAAAATAAATTACTTCATATTAAAGACTATTTCAATAGCTTTATATTACTTTTCGAATTATTAAATTCGGACATTTCATTCGAAAGATATCACAAGTTTAAAAATGTTAGTATATTGTAATTTAACTATCCAAACAGCTTAGTGACTGACTTAATAGTTCTTATAATTTTTCAATCATATTTATACTGGTAATTCCTGTTCAATAGTTAGCAAATTATTAAATACAACGAGAGTTTACCCTTTGGGTACGGAATCCTAAAAAGGCCCCAGAGGTATAGTGTTTCACGGTAGACGCGTCCAACTTAAAAGGGTCTCTGAGTTACACAGATTGTATGATCCACTAAAATATTCCTTAATAGTCGTAATAGGAGAAGACGGTTAATGTTTGACTATTTCTCGGCAAGGTACTGTGCGTAACAAAACTGTGACATGCATGAAATTTTATGCATTTAGGTTGATGGTTAGAGCTACCTGTTCTAATCCATTGCATTATTACTGGGACTTATTAGGGTTCCGTACCCAAAGCAAAATCGTACCCTATTACTAAGACTTCGCTGACTGTCTGTATGTCCGTATGTCTGTCCATATGTCACCAGGCTGTATCTCATGATAGTTAGACAGTGTAAATTTTCACAAACGATGTGTTTCTGTTGCCACTATAACAATAAATACTAAAAAACAAAAACGTATAAATAAGCGGGGCTTCCATAAAACAGACATGATTTTTTTGTCGTTTTTATAGATAATGTTTACAGTTTATACTTCTATTGAATAAAGGTTTTAGAGACGCTTTAAATCAAGACATTGGCGCATCAAATATCGGTCAACGCGTAATCTGCAACGTCATATTCATTTACAGGTTCTCCGAATTATCTGCATTAAAAAACCAAAGATGCGATGATTTATGTCTGAAGACATGGGAGACCAGACTTATTTGTCACTTTTACGTGTAACCCCGAATGTCTCGTAATTAAAGCGGAACCATTAACTGGTCAGCGGTCTTTCGATCTTCATGACGTAATTTCAAGGGTATTTCATTAAAAAATGAAGAAATTCATAAGATTATGCACCAAAGACGAAATATTCGTAAGTTTTTATGTGTGTGTATAATAACTTTTTGTTAAATACCCGTGCGAAGCCGGGGCGGGCCGCTAGTATATTAATAAAATTGGCAACTCGATTGGCCTTATGGGTAGTGAAAATAGTGGTTTTCAGTTTCTTGGTGTTATATGTATATGATGTGTATTTATTTACAAAAAGAAAAGTATGTTTAACAGTTATTTAGTACCCATAGTACGAGCGTTGCTTAGTTTGGGACTAGAAAACGTGAAAAAAAATGTGTCCTGAAATATTTATTCATTTATTACGCCTCATACCCACTGTACAGACGAAGCCTTGAGGACATGCATGCTGTTACTTTTTATTGATTAATTACAAAAATATTTTAAAGGAACAATTTTTTTACAAAAGCGTCAATGTTAAAGTTTTTGATCATTTTCCGTCGTCAGTACTGGGTATATAATATCACAACAATAATAACACAACGATGGTCTATTCCGATACATTATTAGATGTGTACCGAAAAGAAACACCTTGGCAAACAATAGACATTATATATACATTATTACGCATTAGTTATTAGGATTATGTCGCACAGCTAAATCGCAACAGTATAGTCTAACGAGTCTCGATTAAGGAAGCATTACTAAACAAATTGCTCAACGGCTCTTGCACAAACTAAACAAATTTAATGCAACGCTATTGCATAGGCAGTTTATTATAGCTGAATGAGCGCAAAGAGCACGGCACCCTAGTTTTTCGCAGTTAACGAATATTATATTTTTACAATAAATCCATTTGTTCACGCTCCGTTGACTTCGGTGTAAATGAGTATTTTAAACATCGATGCTCGTTACCGTTCGCGTTGGGTGATCCTTCTCATAATAAATGCAGTTTCTTTTAATGATGACTTTCTTAACCGAGCAAATAAGTGGAAAACAAGTTTGCGGTCGCTTTAAATAATGTCTCTAGTAATTTCTGTTAAGGGTTCCGTACCCAAAGGGTAAAACGGGACCCTGTAACTAAGAGTCCGCTGTCTTCCTGTCTGTCTGTCCGTCTGTCACCAAGCTGTATGTTATGAACCGTGATAGTTAGACAGTTGAAATTTTCAAAGACGATGTATATATGGTGCCGCTATGACAATAAATACTAAAAAACATAATAAAAACATGTTTAAGCGGGGCTCCCATACAATAGACATGATTTTTTTTTGCCGTTTTTATACATAAAAGTATTGAACGCCTCGTGCGCGAGTCTAATTCGCACTTGGTCGATTTTTTGAAGTGCAAAATAAAATAATAGTAATAATAATACTTGTTGATGGACCATAAAGAACAAGATGTTATGTAACTAATACAATTAAATAAAGTTATACACAGATGTAAATGAGTCACCCTTACAGTGTTAATTCGTTGTTTGTGTTAACAAAGTTGAATGGGTTGTGGATGCCTTAACCGTTGCATGAACGCTCGAATAGAAAAGTGATATCTTTCAATGAAATGAAGTAGGTCACCGCTTTACACTCTATGAAACAAATACCTATAATTATGTTTATTAGCGGCCCTACATGTGATCGACTTTATTGTTTCGCTGTTGTGAATTTACAGGAATTGACAGGACAGAAAAAGTTATTGTAGTTTTATTAACTAACGTTTTAAATGAAATTTAGGGAGGGCTGATACTGACAACGCTGCGTAAAGATACTTTAAACTTCTGTAGCTTGCCCTTCTGTGAAGCCTTCCATTCCAGTTTTAAGTGCAACCTGGATTAGTGCAATCCAGGTTTCATTTAAGACTGCTCTGGCACAAAAACATTGGACGCAGTTTTGCGATTTGCTATATTGCTATAAGATTTGTGAAGCAATTATTTATGCGAGTATTAGATGAATGGATTTAAACACGTTTTTTATTTTAGTTTCATTATTGTGCCACAGAAAGCATTCTTGTCTAAGCTTTTCTCGCTGTTGAACTTGTGTATTAGTGTATATTATTTTAATGTTTTATGTTAGGCTTTGTTTCATCCGTTCCAAACGAGGAGTTCAGGTTCGAAAATACGAACTTTTGTATTGTCTTACTGTATGCAAAAAGTTATAAAATATTTTCAATGCCTGAAACTCATTTCAATTTGTACACTATAACTAATTAATTAAATTATGTCTAATTATTGATGAGAAAACCATTAATATTCTTCTGTAGAAATGTAATAGCTGACCTTGTCCAGGGTATCTAAGATCAGAAGAGTTTATAAAATAATTAATTTTCAGAACCAAAATAGTTAAACTTTATTTACATTTGCCCAGTTATCTATATAACGTTAATGTATACATTATTAAAATAGTAAATATCAACAAATGTGGTCAGTAATATAAAAACCAATTCCAATTGCAACTTTCTATATTCATACCACAGAAATAGAACAGTATGTGACGAAAAATTGACAGAACCGCGTAGTTTTAAAGGCTTACATCTTAAGAGTAAAATATATTATTTAAGTAAGTGATCCAACATTACCCCTAGTTCCTATGTAATTTAGTACAGGCTCGTTTAATTCCAAAACGTGTAATAGAATCGCAATTTATTCTCCATGCCAAGTGCCATCAATCTTGGAGCCTCAGCGGTATAATCCACCCTCCACCCCTTTCAACACCCACCCAAGGTCGTCGCTAATATGTCAGCAAAATACAGTTAATACAAGTAGTTGTATGTTGCAGTTATTATAGATACCTATATTATTTATACTCAGTACTATCAAGATAGAAAAGCAAAACACTAGTCGTTTATTTTGCATTTATCATCTTTATATATTACTAGCTGATCCGGCTGTTTTGTGGAAATCCGTTAGCTGACCTTTACTCGGCGAAAGAAATATTCCTACCTAATTTCAAGTCTCTACGCCTTAGGGTTCCGGAGAGATCGTGATGATTCTATTATCGGTGGAAATCTCTTATATATATAATATTGATAATGTTAGCCTACAAGGAGTACCAGATGTTTATATCCGTCTGTATGTTACGGCAGAAAAACGACACAGAATATAATATAGTAATTACCATTCTACATTGTACTTTTCCTGAATTTAATTAACATTGTCGTTTATCACATAAAATTAACATATTTAACCGCCAACAAAATAAAACATCTTCTTATTAAGAAAAACAAATTCCCATCGCTGCTTTTTTAATCTGTTGATAGTGGCAACTCCCGACTTATAATCAATGATTTTAAAGAAATAAAATCACCTAGAATCATTTCGTCAATATCTGATTAAATCATAATTATATTGCGGTTAAGTTTCAAGTGTAATATTGTAAGTGCAATTTTTGATAAATTCATCGATCCAGCTTTTTATACGGACCTCTGAACTCGTTCAACTTATACGACAACTGTTACGGACCTCTGAACTCGTTCAACTTATACGACAACTGTTACGGACCTCTGAACTCGTTCAACTTATACGACAACTGTTACGGACCTCTGAACTCGTTCAACTTATGCGACAACTGTTACGGACCTCTGAACTCGTTCAACTTATACGACAACTGTTACGGACCTCTGAACTCATTCAACTTATACGACAACTGTTACGGACCTCTGAACTCGTTCAACTTATACGACAACTGTTACGGACCTCTGAACTCGTTCAACTTATGCGACAACTGTTACGGACCTCTGAACTCGTTCAACTTATACGACAACTGTTATGGACCTCTGAACTCGTTCAACTTATACGACAACTGTTATGGACCTCTGAACTCGTTCAACTTATACGACAACTGTTATGGACCTCTAAACTCGTTCAACTTATACGACAACTGTTATGGACCTCTGAACTCGTTCAACTTATGCGACAACTGTTACGGACCTCTGAACTCGTTCAACTTATACGACAACTGTTACGGACCTCTGAACTCGTTCAACTTATACGACAACTGTTACGGACCTCTGAACTCGTTCAACTTATACGACAACTGTTACGGACCTCTGAACTCGTTCAACTTATACGACAACTGTTATGGACCTCTGAACTCGTTCAACTTATACGAACTTATGCGACAACTGTTACGGACCTCTGAACTCGTTCAACTTATACGACAACTGTTACGGACCTCTGAACTCGTTCAACTTATACGACAACTGTTACGGACCTCTGAACTCGTTCAACTTATACGACAACTGTTACGGACCTCTGAACTCGTTCAACTTATACGACAACTGTTACGGACCTCTGAACTCGTTCAACTTATACGAAAACTGTTATCATACCGAACACGGAGATTCTCGTATTGATGATTTACGTAATCTCATTTTTACAAAATATCTTATGACTCTGCTTTCAAACTACTCAAATTTGTAAAACTTTCACGTTTCAGGACATTAATTGACACTTCCATGTTTATACAACATTAGCCGAAAAATGAAAACGTGTATTCATCTCATTTAAGAAATAAACTCGAAGGTTACGACTCAAACAATTTTTGAATGCATATAAATATTTCAGGGCCCATTTATACAACGTTATCTAGTCCCAAACTAGATGATAAACATACTCCTTTGTAAATAAATACATATATTAGATAAGTAAATTACGAAGGGTGCGGCCGGAGGATGCAAAAAATGCAAAGTTAAACTTAAAACTACTTATTTTATTATATAAAAATTACAAGTTAATTACATTTCTAAGTGAGGTAAACATACTCCTTTGTAAATAAATACATATATTAGATAAGTAAACATCCAGTCATTAGAAAACCACTATGTTCATAACACAATATTTATCCAGTATTGGGGTTCGAACCTACATCCCCTGACACAAGAGACAGGTCCACTATCCACTGTGACAATCTGGTCGTCAATTATTATATATTTGACATTTTTTAATAGTATGCAGTGCCGCAGTAGCGTATATTTTCAAGATATGAATTCACGCAACCTAATCACAACCGCCTTTGAACTTGAGTTTTCATGAAAAACGAAAGATAAAATACGTAGGTTAAGTCAAGAAAAAAAAACTACGTCTATTTCGTTCACAATATTACCATTTGCCCTCTAAGCCCTTGCTGTTTTGCAAATGGAAGAATAAAATTTGCCTATCGCGACCACAACTATAAAGAAAACAGCGTGCAACGTCGTTCTAGCCAAGTTGTTGGGGGGAAGGGGCCATAAATCCTTATAACGACATTACTTCAGCGAAAACCACTTGCATAACTAGGCGTTATCTAAATGTATGTGCCAATAGTGAAAGGAGGGGCCGAGATAAGTTTCTTTTAACACTCCAACAAAAAACGGATAAAAGGATACGCTTACCACGGCTTCGGTGCGCTGTCTAAGTGGCTGAGATTAATTCACATCCATTCGGAACTATATAATTATGTAATAGACCAGTGCTGAAGCCTTTAAAAATGGTAAAAAGTGAAAAAAAATAATAGTAGGACGAAACTCATTGGGAAAAATGTATTATTCCTTTAAAATTTTATCATATTCCCCTCGAATATGATAAAATTTAAAGGAATAATAAATTACGGGCGAACTGAGCTCGAGAGGAGGGGGGGTGATGAGTTTTTAAGATTAAACACGGTTTATCTCGATTTCCGCCATATCTACAAGGCCTATGGAAAAAAAGATAAATGGCAAAGTTGTAGGTAATAAAACTATCTACAACTTTTTTCAAAAATTCAAATAACCAATGTTTGGTTATTTATTTTTATCTTGTACAAAAATGTTTTTTTTTTTTTCACGAAATTTGGTGAAAACTTTCCTTTTTTTGTCCCAAATACACTGTAATTTATTTAATTTGAAATTTTTATTTTTTTACCTTATTTCGACTCAATATCGAAAAAGCACCCTAATTTTCAATCGAAAATTCTCGCGTCAAAATAACAGCTTTATTTAAAAGTTTTTAAGGCTTTTTGTTTGTTGAAATCTCATTCTTTTTTCTTTTTTATTTATTCATTCTCATTTAGTTGATTTCTTATATTCTCAATTTCATGATAATTTTTTGGGAGTAATAATTTCTTTATTTCACGCTTTAATTTATAACGTGTCTTTGGAAAAAACGTGTACATACGCGTCTTTGTATAACTCTTTTCACCTTATTGTATAGATACGAACCTAAAATTATAATATGGCATTGAGCAAATGGCAGAAGTTAAAATGGTAACATGCAATGTTACAAAATGTCTCAAGCCCCAAAAACGCATAGTTTTTACACTAACGAAGTTCTAAAAAATTTTAAAAAAATTGTTTCAATATCTAAAACTGTTTTTATTACAAGGTAATGAAATCTTATGAAATTGCGAACTGCAACCAGTTGCATAACAATATATTGTTAATTATAAGTTATGTGCCTGTCTAGTTAGGTCACAGATGATTCTCAAATAGATTGCACATGCACATAATTAAATTGAACACAATGAAATTCATGAAGAAATGAATTAGTAGAACTATGAGTTATATTGTATAACTAGCTGTTGCCCGCGACTAGGTCCGCGTGGAATAGGGTGAAAGCGAAAAATTCAGATAGATACAGACAGATATCTATACATATAATAAAAATGTAACTTGTCTGCACATGGAAGATATTTGAGAAAAACTATTATTAAAGATGCCCCTTAATCAACGCAATAAAACCCAAAACAATGGTTGTTAAAATTAAGTGTGTATGTGCGTTTGTGCGCGTTAATCTCAGAAACGGCTTAACTGATTTGGGTGCAACTTTCACTAATACATTGTAGTACTTCACTTAACATTTAGTGTTAGTTTTATTCAAATCGGTTCATAAATAAAAAAGTTATGTCAAGTTAAAAAAAAGTAATCGCTACAGCTGAATAGGATGAAACTATACTTTACTATAATAATTATTTAAAAAACAGGCAAGTGCGAGTCGCAATCGTGTACGAAGGGTTTCACACCATAATCTATAAAAAAGGCAATAAAATTATGTCTGTTGTATGAGAGCCCCACATAAAAAAATCTGATTTCCTTTATTTGTTGTTATCGCATCAACAGAAACACATTATCTGTGAGAATTTCAACTGTCTAAATGTCCACAGTTTATGAGATACATGTATCGAACCGCGGGCGAAAAGCTAGTGTACAATAAAATATTACTATAAATACCAAATTCATAGTTTTGCCTTCTGGGAAACAATTACTATGGGTCACACAAATAATTGTCCCGTGTGAAAATCGAACCCACGCCGAAGGCAATGGCTTGACAACTGCGCAATGGTCAGTGATCTAGAGAGTGATATTCGCGAAATAAACACAATTTTGTCTGAGCCACACCCAGTGACAATCTCAGCTTGAATTATGTGCCTTTGTAGAGGAGTTACGTTCATATGAACTTAAGTAGATATGAAGTTGAAAATGGAATCCGCCATTGCCCAATTTTACACCGACTTATGTTTTATATTATGTCAACCGCAACTTATGTTTTTGAGACCAGAGATAAGAACGCTTCTGTGAGGCATTTATTTCTTCGCTTTAGTCCCCTGAGTAATGAGAGGAAGGGTGTGGAAAATCTCCAGAGAAAACAACTGTGACGTTCCCCTTTGGCCTTTCATCTTGTGTATGTATGTATGTTCATCTCGTGGCGACGCGTAGCCACGGCATGCGATTTGAAATAAATTCGTAAATTTTTGTATTTAATGAAAATAAATGTTTATTCAATAAATAGTCATCGTTATCTGGAAAAAAAATCGTAATATTTTATTTTATCATTATGACATATTTAGTTCCTATCACAATCTGTTCTTTTCTGCATATTACTTTTACAAAATAATGTCGATGTTTCACATCTGCCAGGCGTACCGTGACGGCTCACATTTTTTAACTTTATTTTAATATCTACAACCTATAACTGACTCCAATGTGCGAGATAATAAATAGCGTCTATGGCGAAATGGGTATCAGCACTAAGTCGTGTATGGTTTCATTAGACTGTTGAGATCAAATCGTTCTCATTCTTTTTAATTCTATCGAGGCATTTTTTTAATGAATATTAAAAGGTAAATTCAATTATTTTGAAAATACTACAAAATAAGTATATTAATTACAAAAAAAATATCAGATACAATTTATGAGTCACTGACAAAAAACAAAAAACATAATTTCCAAACCACAAAGCAAAATAATATCTGAATATCCTAGCTTAACCAAATCTATATTCCTAAACATTGACAGATTTGTCCGTTGGTTGCCCTAAGACTCGCTGGAAGGCACAAAAAATTAAACAAAGAAAGTTAGTACATGATATTATGGAGCCGACGAATGGTACCTACTTTACAGGCCCGCTTGATTTGTTATAATTTGCATGGAATATAGGCTACGCAAAGAAGCGAAAGGCAAGCAACGCTACTAAAAGGCTCCACTAATTTGCGGCCCCATTCATTTGGCCCGCCGAGTACGTGGCCGGTAAAGAAATCCCCTACTGTTCGTAACAACTAACCAAATCGCAAACCAAAATCAAGAATATCCCTATACCGAGCAAAACTAAAATCATACCTATCGTATTAATCTTAATAGAAGAAATTCGCATTATTATTATTAAAATGCAAAAGGTCGGCGCTTGTGCCTTAATTAACTTGTGAAAATATGTATACACGGCATTTTATGAAGAAAAAGCCATCTAGTTTTTGCATGGGAACTAATTCCTTATCAAGTAGTTTTCAAGGTTATCGCTAATAGACAGACAGACAGACAAAAATTCCAAAAATGGTTTTTATGTTTCCTATAACACTATTTATGATACCCTTTTTCATTTTTTCATAAATATATTCAATGTACAGACACGACGATTCTACTCTTTTATTATAGTATAGATATTGTAAAATAATTATTGTATAATTAACTATCGGAAACTCATAGTTCCCAACACTTAATGTGATATTTGAGTCGGGATGTAAACCAACACTCTGGATAGGCAGGTTCCGCAGAGTGATATGTCAATAGTTCCACCCGCTGATTGTTATTCGAACGTCGTCTGCGGTTGATATACGATGCGATGGAGGAACGCGCTTTGCATGCATGTTGGCCAAATGGGCTGTCCTGCCGAAAGAGAGATGACATTATATGTATTTTTCATATTTTTAGGGTTCTGTACGGGGGGTACAAAGGGTAAAACGGGACCCTATTACTAAGACTGCGCTGTCTGTCTGTCTGTCTGTCACCAGGCTGATGTATCTCACGAAACCGTGATAGACAGATATGTTGAAAATTTTCACAGAAGATTTATTTCTGTTGCCGCTATGTAGACAAATTTCGTGTTTCTAGGTCTACGAGAACTACCACATATGTATGTTTTCGTCCCAAAATCTATGGGGCACTTCTGGTTGACCTAGAATTGTCAATTTTGGTTAAAAGCAAGGTCTTACAGTACAAG